AAAAAAAAAAAAAACCTTATAAATGCTATCTTTTGAAGAAAATGTTTCTTTCAGACATATACTCCACAAAATATGTATAGACATTTAACCTAAAATGCTTATGTCTATAGGAGTCCAGTTAGGACATTCCTGCTATAACCCTCTGATTACAATGTATAGTCATGGGCTACTCTATATGATGTAGTCTTGCAGGTTATACATGCTGAATAAAATACATAAAAAGCAAAAAAGGAAAAGAGAAAGTGTCCTTACTGCTACAGCCTCTATATATCAATGTTGTTTAATTAGTGAGACTGTATGAAATGTCTAAGAAGTACAATTTGGCCATACTGTGAGAAAAACATTTTTACTGTTAAAAATTTGGCAATGAATGTTTCCAATAAATGTTTAGTGAAGATTATGCCATCTTTCTAAAATGTAGAAAAAAGATGAAGGAATATTAAAAGCAATTCTAATAAAACATCCATTTCAGCAGATTAGTTATGGCTCTATATTAGCCCAGTCAGCTAAAGTTTTATTCAAATATCACAGAGTATGTGCAGTGAAAGCTTCTATTGATAAACTCTGAATATTCTTTATTTTCCAAGGAGTGGGCAGGATGTTGTGTCACCTTTGCTATCTATGTTAAAAAGCACACAAAATGTTTCCACATTGTCCTTGTACTGTGCTTTCTTTATTTCAAACCACAGATCTACCTGTAAGACTCTCATGGATCATACAGTACATGTTCTATAAATAAAATCAGAGTGTATCATAGCATTATCATACTGAAAGACAAAATTCTTGGATTAGTTTAGTAGTAAAAAGCTTAATTCTTGTAAATCCATGGCTGGAATTATTAGGGCATGCCTGAGATGTATCTTGCTCCAATGAATATTATCAAGCTACTCACTATAAAAAAGCCCAAGGGCATACTAGAGAAGATAGCAAGTTCACCATTTTCGGGAGCCCGAGTTGAAACCCAGCCCATTGTCTTCATCACAGCTTTCTTCCAGGTAGAATAACGGATTTCACTTTCTGTGGCTTGGATCTGTGGTTCAATGCGTTCCATTGTGATTGCTGACAAATCCTCAGGTTTAAAACTCCAAACACCTACTCCTTCTGCAGCTCCTGCAGCCATGGCAGCTCCCAACGCTGTTGTTTCAGGCAGAGAAGACCTTATTACTGGAATATGTAAAATATCTGCTTGTAGTTGCATAAGAATTCTGTTGCTGGTCATGTTTCCATCTACCTGTAAATGATGGAATAGAATTCCACAGTCACGGTTCATGGCTTCCAAAATTTCGCGAGTTTGGAAACAAACAGCTTCTAATGCCGCAAAAGCAATATGACACTTATTAGTAAACTGAGTGAGCCCACAGATTATTCCTCTTGCGCTGGGCTCCCAATAAGGAGCATACAACCCTGAAAAAGCTGGAACAAAGTAGCAGCCATAAGAAGTACCTGCTTCTTTAGCAAGGCTTTCAATTTCTTTTGAGGTCTTTATAATACCAAGATTGTCTTTCAGCCAACGAATAACTGCACCAGCTATAGCAACAGAACCTTCCAATGCGTAATACACTGGTTTGTCTTTGCCTAATTTGTAAGCCACTGTGGTCAGAAGGCCATGTTCAGAAAATATGCACTTCTGACCTGTATTACACAGTAAGAAACAGCCTGTTCCATACGTGTTTTTGGCTTGTCCTTCCTGGAAGCACATTTGCCCTACTAATGCAGCAGACTGATCTCCCAAACACCCAGATATTGGGACACCTTCCAAAGCCCCACCTTTCATCAGGCCATAGATCTCAGAACAACTCCAGACATTGGGAAGAATGTGTATAGGAATTTCGAAGAAGTTACAGAGCTCTTTATCCCATTCCAAAGAATGGATGTTGAAAAGCATTGTCCTACTTGCATTTGTTACGTCTGTCCCGTGGACACCTCCATTGACTCCTCCTGTCATACTCCAGATAAGCCAAGAATCAATGGTACCAAACAGAGCTCGACCTTCCTCCACAGCTTTCTGGACTTTTCTCACATTATCCAGCATCCAACGAAGTTTTACAGCACTAAAATAAGTGCTAAGGGGAAGGCCAGTTTTAGACTTGACGAAGTTATTATTTCCAGGAATTTTTCTGCTGAGAATCTCAACAGTAGATTGGGTTCTTAGATCAAGCCAAACCACGGCATTGTAGAGTGGCTCTCCAGTTAACCTGTCCCAGATGACAGTAGTTTCCCTCTGGTTGCTGATACCTATAGCTTTTATGTTGGATATATCAATATTCTCTTGGTCAAGTTTCTCGCACGTTCTCGCTATGCACTCATAAACCGACTGAAGAATTTCCTTCGGGTCCTGTTCCACCCATCCTTCTTTTGGGAACTCTTGCGTTAGTTCCACTTGATGATGACCAAGCAGTTCTGCTGTTTTTGCTCTGAAAACCAGAAAGCGGGTGGAGTTGGTGCCCTGCACCACCGCGCCCACCAAGGGTCCCACCGCTGCCTTCTTCGCAGCGGCCATGAAGCCAGTCTCTACTACGTTTCCCTGGTGATGGCGGTAGGCACGCAGGGCGGCGCCCGCCCTTGTTGACGGAGGCGCCCTTTGTCCCCAACCGAAAACGCTCGCGCCGTCCCTCCCCCCACCAAAGCCCGCCCTTGGCGCAAGCCCCGCTTCCAGCCACTCGGTGACTTTTCAAGGCGAATTACATTAAAATAATCGTAGATTCTCCGATGTAATTACTGCTGCCTTGCTCTTTTGTCATTTGTGGGGATCCGTGTTTCTATTATTTCTTTTCTGTCTATGATATTGCTCAACATTTCATATCGTGCGTATGTATTGGGGATGAAGTCATACAACTTAAAACATCAGTACTTTATTCTAATACTGAAAGTTATTTTTCTTGATAAAGCAGTCTGACTTTCTTCCTTCCTTC